TATATATATATATATATATATGTGTGTGTGTGTGTGTATATATGTATATGTGTATATATGTATATGTGTGTGAGTGTTTGTATATATATATCATTTGTATCATTTGTATTAATATTTCATTACACAGCTTGACGGAAAAAACGCTTTAATAACTCTTGTTTTATTGCGTTAATAAGTCCCTGTGTAAAAAGCAAAACTAATAATAATAACATTAAAATTTCACTGACAGGAGGTAATCCACTGTTATTTAGGGTGGTAGTTCTCCTATCCAGTAATCCAAATGGTTAACTTACAACTAGGTGATTTCAATACTTACAAATGTGAGCAAGAAGCAATAATCGTAGATTTAAAAAAGTTTATCGAAACTTTAACAACAGATAATACAAACTTGACTAAGAGAGTTTTGGATTTAGAAAATTCCAAATCAAAATCTAGTTCAGCAGTGACAGGTGATTGGGCTAGTAAAGTAAAAAAAACTCCATATCAAATGCAAATTATTAATACTATCGCAAATGAAACCAAAGAAAGAGATAAAAGAAAAAATAACTTGGTTATTTTCGGTTTAGAGGAATCAACATTAAGTGATAAAGTCAAAGCTATTGATGAAGATTAACAAAATATTGAAACAATCATGAAAAAGTTGACGGTCAATGTCAAAATAAAAAATGTTATCAAATTAAAGTCAGAAAATGGATATAAAGCTCCATATATTGTTGTTTTAAATGATAAATTGGAACGTAATTCTGTTTTAAAAAATGCCAAGGAATTGAAGAAAGATAAAACATACGAAAGTGTATTTATAAATCCTGATTTGACTGAATCTGAACGGTTTAAATCAAAGCTATTAAGAGAAGAGTGTAAAAAACTAAATAATGACAATATAACACGGCAAACTTTTAATTTGGTATTAGAAATGCCAAAGTTGTAAAAATAAAAAAATAGCAACTAAATGCCAAAAAAGACTTAAACCACATTCGATGCTTAAACTATGAAACTAACAATAAAATAAATCTGTTTAGTGGTGGAGGTCAAAATCTTAACAAGTTGCTGAGCAATAAGAGACAGCTAGATATTGAAATATTAAACTTTCATGAGCGTAATAAATGTGATTTAAGTATAAACAAGGAGCACGATACTCAAAAATGCAATGAACTGATGATTTGGTATACAAATGCAACGTCTCTGAATAATAAGATTGATGAGTTAAGGTTACAATGTGAAATATATAAACCGGATGTTATTTGTGTTACAGAAACTTGGTTTAAAGCAGAATCAGATGTAAATATAATTAGTTATAATAATTTTAGAAGTGATAGAAAGACTCATGGAGGAGGTGTTTGTATTTATGTAAAACAATGTATTAATCAGTTTGAAACAAATAATTTACAGTTAAGCAATAATTTTATAGAACAAATATGGACTTGTATATGTTTTAAAAATAACAAAATGCTAATTGGATGCATTTATAGACCACCAGATATATCTCATGAGTATAATAACTATATTTTGGTATCTATTAATGCTGCTAAAATGAGTATTTATCAAAAAGAATACAGCGATCTTATTATTACAGGTGACTTCAACTATAATACAATAGATTGGTCTGATAATAGTTGTCCTTTTTCAGCAACTGATAATGGATCTCAAACTAATAAATTTATTGAATGTCTTGAAGATTGTTTTCTGTTTCAATGTGTATGAGAGCCAACATTCCAAATAGCAAACTACAAATCAACTAATATTCTAGACCTTATTATCACAAACGATAAAAACAAAATTGTTTCTATAACTCACTCAGCTCCTTTAGGGAATGTCAAACAGGGTCATCATTTGTTAAAGTGTTGTTATCTAATGAATGATTATAAGTTTTCAACCGAACATAAGAAATCCATTAGATTATATCAAAAAGGAAATTATGAACTATTTTCTTGTCATTTCAATTATGTGGATTGGGAAAATGGATTAAAAAGTAAATCTATAAATGAAATGTATGATTTATTTTTGTATCATTACAATTATGCAACTAATCTGTTTATCCCAAGAATTAATTATCAAAATAGAAGGAACAGAAACAAATGGATTACTCCTGAATTGAAACATAAAATAAGAACTAAAAACAATATATGGCTTGCTAATAAACGTAATGGCTGGAATGAGGAATCAACAAAAATTCAGTATAATAAGCTAAAAATTAGAATAAAGAATGATATTAAGAACAATATAAAACAATTTGAAAGTACTTTAGCTAGCAAGTTTAAATCAAATCCTAAATTGCTTTATAAATATATCAATGAGAAGAAATCAGTGAAAACTCAAGTTCGAGCTCTGGAAATTGATTATGGGGAAATCATAAATGATCAATTCGCTATAGCTACTGAACTAAATAAATATTATCATTCTGTGTATGTTAATGATAATTGCACAAGTATTATTGAGTTTCATAATATACCTTCAAATTTATTATTAAACACAGTTTTAATAGCACAAAATGATGTTCAAACTAGACTTCAAGCACTTGATAAGTCAAAATCAGTCGGTTTTGATTTTGTTCATCCATATGTTTTAAAAGAATGCAGCTCGTCAATATCATACCCATTATATTTAATTTTCAAAAAATTGATGGAAACAGGTACCCTACCAGATATGTGGAAGAAGGCAAATGTAATGCCACTTTTTAAAAAAGGAAGCAAATTAGAAGCATCTAACTACAGTCTCGTTAACTTCAATACCATGTAAAGTGTTAGAAAGAATAATAGCTGATTGTATCATGCAACATCTCATAAAAAATAATTAACTTTCAAAAAAACAACATGGCTTTATGAAAAGCAAGAGCTGTACAACAAACCTATTAGAATACCTAGATATTTTAACAGATGCGTTCCACAATAGAACACCGGTAGATGTATTGTACACAGATTTTAAAAAAGCTTTTGATAGTGTTTCACATAAAAAGTTATTATCCAAGTTATTGACTTTTGGTATTTCTGGTAAACTTCTTACGTGGATAGTCTGTTTTTTAGCTAACAGAAAACAAAGAGTGGTTTTAGGTAAAAGAGTGACAGATTGGGTTGATGTACTTAGTGGTGTACCACAAGGGTTGTTCTAGGTCCTCTCCTTTTTTTTGGTATTTATAAATGATTTACCAGAAAATTTTATTAATGAATGTCATTTATATGCTGATGATAATAAGATAATTGCACCTATTTCTTCTCAAAATGATTCACAATTGTTTCAAAATGATATAAATAAACTTGATAAATAGTCAACAAAATGGAAATTAGGATTAAATTTTGAAAAATGTAAAATTATGCACTTTGGTTCAAATAATAAAGAATATTCATATTTTATGAACAATAACAATACATTAACGGAAATTGAAAAGTCAAAACTAGAAAAAGACATTGGTGTTTATATATCAAGTGATTTAAAATGGGCCAAACAAGTAAAATATGCAGCTAGTAAAGCAAATAGTATACTCTCACTACTAAATAATACATTCAAGTACAAGGATAAAGATCTAATAAAAACACTGTATTGTACACATGTTAGACCAAATTTAGAGTTTTCAATTCAAGCATGGAGTCCGTATTATACAAAAGATATTAATGAACTAGAAAAAGTCCAACGAAGAGCTACCAAAATGATACCGGAGCTAAGACATCTTGAGTACAAAAAAAGATTGGAAATTTTGGGTTTGACTACTTTGGAGACTAGAAGGCTAAGGTGCGATTTGATCCAGCAATTCAAAATATTTAAAGGTATTGAAATCATTGATATTAAACAAAATCAAACAATGAACTCTATTTGCTCATCAGGTCCTGCAGCTAACATTAGAGGAGCAAAACATCGAATGAAACCTGAATTGGTCAGAAATTGTTTGAAAAGGCAATATTTTTTCAGCAATAGAGTTGTCGATGGATGGAATAGTCTACCAGCCGAAGTTGTTCAATCTACTACAGTTAAAAGCTTTAAATTAAACTTGCAATCGGTCGACTTAAAAGCAATAACAAACAAGATAAAAACCAAGAAAGCTTATTATTAACGTTTTTGTTATTTAGTGACTGAACTAACTTGTTCATTAATTAATTTATACTGACTGTCATAGATATTGCCTGGCGCTTTATCTTAACAGCATTAATTATTAATAATAATAATAATAATAATAATATATATATATATATATATATATATATATATATATATATATATATATATATATATATATATATATATATATATATATATATATATATATATATATATATAAAAGCTGTGTAATGAAATATTAATATAAATGATACAAATGATATATATATACAAACAATCACACACATACATATATACACATATACATATATACACATATAAATAAATATATATATATATATATATATATATATATATATATATATATATATATATATATATATATATATATATATATATGTATATATATATATATATATATATATATATATATATTTAAATATATATATACGTATATATATGTATATATATATATATATATATATGTATATATATATATATATGTATATATATATATATATATTTAAATATATGTATATATATATATATATATATTATGTATATATGTATATATGTATATATATATATATATATATATATATATATATATATATATATATATATATATATATATATATATATATATATATATATATATATATATATATATATATATATATAAAAGCTGTGTAATGAAATATTAATATAAATGATACAAATGATATATATATACAAACAATCACACACATACATATATACACATATACATATATACACATATAAATAAATATATATATATATATATATATATATATATATATATATATATATATATATATATATATATGTATATATATATATATATATATATATATATATTTAAATATATATATACGTATATATATGTATATATATATATATATATATGTATATATATATATATATATATGTATATATATATATATATATTTAAATATATGTATATATATATATATATATATTATATATATATGTATATATGTATATATGTATATATATATATATATATATATATATATATATATATATATATATATATATATATATATTATATATATATATATATATATATATATATATATGCGGAAAAACGTAAAAAAACAAAAAAAAAGGTCCTCTAATTTTAATTTAGGAATTTTGTCAAAATTTAATTTGGGAAAATTAATAAATTAAATAAACTGAGGTAATATGCAATAATAAATGCTAGACATTTTTAAAAAAGTTTTTATCTTTTTAATAAAATACAACTATATTGTATAATATTTAAAAATTTTGTAAATGAAAGTTTCTAAAAACCAGTTTTCGAAAAAAAGGACAAAGTTTTTTTGTTTTTTTTTTGAAATAAATAATAGGTTTTGTATTTTTCAATTTTTTTATTTGTATTATTTTATTTAACAGGAAACATAGAATAATAATGTTATACATTTATTTATAATAATATTCAATTATAAAAAAATGTAATATATAAATAGATGCATTTTAATAGACACATATGTCATTTGATGTACCAAGTATAAGTAATATTAAGGACTTGATTTGGATCATTGTTGATCAGTTTATTTTAAAGTGGCAATCAAGACAATAACTATTTAAACAGAATCAGAATACTTTTAAAGCTGGTTTTTCAAGCATTTGACTGCACAGAAGACCAAAGATTTTTCAAAAAATGCAATTATCAAAAACAATATTTTCAAAGACTAGAATTAATACAGACACTTTGTGAGCTTGTATCATAAACTTGGCCTATTAAATTCTTTCTACATCTATTGCTTGCTAGTTTTCAGCAACTTTAATGTCTGTTTACGACAGACATTAAAGTTGCTGAAAGTGTTGAAAAATTTGGTTGATGAGTGACATAAATATCTTTTTTGTAGTTTTTTCCCTATTTTTATTCTTTTTCAAATTTAATATGTTGATAAAAACAACAAATTAACATTTTTATTTGTTATTTATTTTATTCATTTACTTCATATAAAGTTTTGTATTTTCATTTGTTTACATACAAAGTCAAATATCTAAAGAAATATAATAATAATTAATATAAAATTTTTGTTACTCATTATTTAGTTAAAAAAAAGTTCACAATCTAATTTTTATGCTTATTTAAAATAAAAAATTTAAGTTAATAGCTCTTTTTTGTTTTTAACAAAATTTGCTTTGAAATTTTTTTTTTTTTTTTAAGTATGTGATTTTTAATTTTAGGGAGGAGTATATTTTAAAAGTAAAGTTGGATTCAGGTTATCAGCTATTTAAAAAGTAAATTTTATATATTTGGTTTTGTTTCTTGCAGGCATTTCTATTTTAGTTTAATATATGTTTCTGTGGCAATTTTTCCATGTGTGCTACTTGTGTTGTTTTTTTTAATAAATTTTTATTGTGTATTTTTGTGTTTTTTATAATATTAAGTATTATTTTATCAATTTTTCTATTGTTAATTAGATTTCATAATGAGTGGGTTTGTATTCATGAAGAATCTGTAAAAAATGTTAAATTGTCTGAGGTATTTATTTAAATGGTTCTCAAACAATCTTTTTACACTTTATATTTGATATATAGCCATGTGAACCTTTCATGGCATTGTTTGTTTGAACCTATCATGTATCATTTTTTCAGTCTAAACCCGTCATGAAATATATTAAAGTATCCATAATATGTTAGCATTATCTAGACCTAAATACATAGTAGTACAGTTAGACCTAAATACACAGTAGTACAGTTAGACCTAAATACACAGTAGTACAGTTAGACCTAAATACACAGTAGTACAGTTAGACCTACAGTGGCGGAAAAAAGTAATGTGTTCAGTAAATTTTTAATAGAATTTCTTGCTAGATAAAACAGATAGCTAGATATTTGATCAAAGTAACTTCACAATGGTCTTTGCTAGGCATTACATATAAATATATTTTAATTAAATAATTTAATTCAAAAATCATTATAAGTACATATAAATAACAAATCTTGTTGAGTCTATATTTGTGGTCGGACACATAACTTTTTTCTGCCACTGTAAATACACAGTTAGACCTAAATATACAATAACACAGTTAGTTAATGATCTGCAGTGTGAATCACAGTAATATAAAATGATTAAACGATATAACATAAAATTCCAATTATCAAAAAGTGTTGCTAAAAGGAATAATATTTTTAGAACAGTTTTTTAGATCTGGAATTTCATGTCATTAAATAATATAAAACATAAAATATTTTTTTTACTTTACCATTATATGATTTTAAATGACTAGCTAAAAATATGATTAAAAATTCAATAGAATGTATTCCAGTTGTTTAAAAATATAAACTTTTTTTTTAACTAGTGATGTCATATGCATTTTCCAAAATGCAAACAACACCAAGTTTTGTTTATTTTCTTATTTTAAAATAAATTTTGGATTTAGAAAACACATTTGGCTTTTCTGCTGATATTGCTTACAATTTTTGTTTACAATTTTCAGTTTTATTAAATATTTAACTTTGTTTGATCATTTTGATTTTAATTTGAGCATTTTAAGCAAGTTAAAAGATTAACTTTAATTGTTTATTTTTACGTATTTTTTGCGCAACACTTATGTTTCCACACCTGTGTGATTTCTGATTGGTTTCCATAATCCCTTTAATAAGATATTATGGAAATGTTTAAGTGATATTCAGGAATGCTTTTCCTGGTGTTAACTTGTTCTGCAGATCAAGTCTGAGTATTTTTATTGTTATACTACCACTAAGAAGATTACCTTCTAAGATTTAAAAGCTCCTTCTACTCTTACCTGCAAATAGTTTAGGGTTTTATATCTTAGTTTTTTTTTTAAAAAGTTGCCTTTCTCACAGTTATAGATCCATCTGCCGCAATATAGCCTTAACATCATAACATCAAGTTAGTTTTTCTAACTGTTACTGTTTATGTCAAATATTGAGTTCACAGGACTAACTTTTAGTTGATCTTTATAAATTTTTTCTTTGTTTTAGAAAGTTGATGAACAAGTTGTTCGATTTAACAAAGAGTGGGAAAAGTGGAACACTTATCTTATAGAATTTCAAAACAATCTTCAAGCTTTGCCAGAATTTTTAGCAAAAGTCGAAATCGCTCAAAATAAAATTAGTATTTAGTTTTTTAAATTAATGTTATTTTATATTTTGTTTTATGTGATTTATTGTTTTATTACAACATACTTTGTAATATTCATTTTTCCATAAATCCTTGAATAACTTCAATTAAACTTCATTTAATTTAAGAAAATATTTTTGTAATTTTTGTACTCTTATTTATTACTAATTTTATTATTACTAATTTTATACCAATTGATTTTATGGGATAAACTTGTTTCTCCGTGCAGCGACCTTGTTTGTCAAGGTTCGTATTTCGGAGTTATAGAGTTAAGAAATGGTTGTAACCACAGTAAAAGTAGCCTCATCAACTGAAATGATCTTTTTGGCCTTGGGAAGGTGAACTAAAAATGTAAATATATATATATATATATATATATATATATATATATATATATATATATATATATATATATATATACACAAACACATACACATACACAAATTCTTTTTAAAAGTTATTCTTGGTAAAGAAACATGAGTATTTTTTATTTTCATTGAGTTTTTAACACAAGGTGCATGCATGGTGTTGTATAAAATTTCCTTGTGATATTATGTATGTAAAAATAAAATAAATTATAAGTACTAATTAATAAATTTACAATTAATTACTTAGTACTTTTAAATTGATTTACAGTTAATAAATAATTTACAGTTAATAATTAATTTACAATTAATAATTGTTTACAAGAAAGTAAAAGATTTTTTTTTAATTATAAACAATTATATTAGAACAAAAGAATAATTTTTTTTTTTTTTTTACAAAAGTTATAAAAGAATTTTTATTTTATTTTACAAAAGGTGCAATTGGTGAATTAATAGAGAAAATTGAAACTCTTCTTGTTGAGTACGAAGATGCAATAGAAAGGCATGATTTAGAAAAACAGAAGTTAGAAGTTAAAGTCAAACTAAGTGAACTAGTTGCTACTAAGCAGTAACTTTTAAATTTTTTCAGGTTTTTAACACTGACCAGTCTGAACATTATTAATAATTTAATAAAGTGTTTTTGTTATTATACTTTATTATTTATTTCTGTATTTTTTTATTATTCTTATCTTATTGACTTGTTTTAGGTATCTATCTATATACATCTCTATGCATAATTATATTTTTTATTATAATCTTTAGTGCTGAGTTTGCACTAAAAAAGTCCATGTATGAAAATCAACATGAAACAACAAATAGTTTCCGTAAAGTTGTTGAATCAAAAGAAGGAAAGGTATGCTTTATTTAGGCTGCAGTATATTAAATTATAATAAGAAAAGATTTTTTTTATAATACATTTTGCACCATTGCCCTAAAGGCAGCAAGAAGGCTGCAGGTAGGTACACCTTAAAATTACAAACACCTTAAAAACTACAAAGTCATAATTGATGTTCTCCACGAGCACTGTATAAGCTTAAGCCTGTAATATTTTTTGTTTTAAGACTTTATATAAAAACTTTCTTAAAAAAAATACAAGTGACTTACTTGTATTTTTTTTAAGAGAGTTTTTTAAGACTTATTTTCATTTATAAAATATGTGATATAAACAATTTATAATTTAAAAAAGATTAAATTTAAACTAAAAAACTACACTTTTTGGCATGGGTAAGCACCAGTTTGAAAATAAGTTTGTGATTCCTTGGTTTATAGATATCTACATTGTTGCTACAAATAAAAGCAAAAAAACTTTATACAATATTCTTTTCAGGTTGATAGAATGATCTTTTTACAAAAAGTAGAAATGTTTGTAGTTTTTAAGAGGGTAATAAAGTTTACCCAAACACTGAAACACAAAGTCTAAATTTCCTTTCAGAATCAGTCAGTTGCATTTCAAAACAACATTTCCCTAATTGATGCTATTGCTTTCCTTATCATTTAAATTGCCTTTATATTTAGCATTTGTTTTGGTTGATGTTGCTATATTCAGCATTATTGGCTTCATTTCATTAACTCTACAAGATACTGATTTTTTTATTTCATGGCAGACTGGGCATTCTTTGAAATTCATTACTGTACAAATGTCATTGCAAACATATTTTAGTTTACATTTATAAAATTGTTCTTTTTCTTGCTTTTTCTTCTTCTTTTGATCCTTTTTTTATTTTTTTCAATTTCAATCAACTAATCTGTCTATTGATGTTTTGGGCTTCCATAGAACCATGCATGTTTGTGACACATATTTTTTTGTTTTGTTTATGTCTTTTGGCTTTACCTTGTTTCCTTTAAGCAAAACTGGTATATCTTCTAATAAATTTTAAAAGTTGTGTTTAGAATACGGTTGTACAAATAACTAGTGTACAAAATTTTTTTCATTATAATTTACTTTGTAACTAAACAATAACACTCTACTTACTTTCATGTCTTTACAACATGTTTTGTTTTTACAACATGTTTTGCATTATCAAATAGTTTGACAAATTTGCGACCACCTTGATTCTTGGTGTTGCAATAGTCTCTAATTTTAAAACATCAATAATTAGATTAGTGACTTGCTTTCTTGATACTCTTTGATAACACCTGTTTTTATTTTTAATGAATTCTACATTAGAGTGTTCTTCCTTTGGTGTCAAAACTCGTAGATGCTGCTTCTTGATATTAGCAGTTTTTCCAACTAATCTCTGGTCAATGGTGCCTTGATCTTTAATAAAAGAAAACATACCAGTTTGCAAAGCAGCATAGCCTCTTTTGTTGTGCTCTTTGCAAAAAGACAAAGCTTGTTGGTTCTGAAATTCTTTTTTTTTTTATTTTTTTCCTCTGGACTTTTGCCTCTGCCTTTAAATTTGGTTTTCCAACAACAAAAGGTACTTATCCCACTTTTATAGTTGATTTTGGTTTCATCATTGTAAAATTACTTATAATACTTTTATCTATAAAATATATATGGTATAAAACAAATGTGTGCATAAAAACACATTAATAATACTTCTGCTGAATAAAGGTATAATATCTGAGTGCCTTATATGTTAAATTAACAACAAATTTTATTTAATAAAGGTCTCCCTAAAGACATAATATTAGAATTCACAATTGAAGTTGTAGTTTTAAGGTGTTTTTTTTGCAGTTTTTAAGGGTTTTTTGGAGTTGTTCATGTCTTTTTGTTTATAAAAAGTTTACAATAATTTGTGTACAAATATTAAGGCCCCAAAACAAAATGTTAACAAAATGTTGAGTGAATCTGATGAACAACTCAAAAAATTGTTTGCCAAAAACCTCCTTGTGGTATTTAAGGGGTAACAACCAAAAAAAGCACATTTTCTTTGAATAACTTTAATAAAAACCATAGATTGAAAAATATGGTCAGGGAAGACAATCATATTAATATATTTTTTGAGTACAGAAAGTTTCAGCACTTTAAAAGTTTCCTATATTCAGTTTTTTTTTGTAGTTTTTTTTACCTACCTGTAGTAAAAAAAAAATCATTTTTTGTAACTGCTTTTTTCATTTTTTTTTAACTTCTAAACACTAGTTTTGACAAATAAAGTTGCTGCTTCTACTGTTAATTGTGGTTCTATCAGAAATGTTTTGGAGTTTGATTTCTGTACCTTTCAGTCTGTATATTACTATCAAATTGAAAATGTATTAATTGAAAAAATCTCTTAATATTTCAAGGATAACATTTAGTTTTCAGAAATGAAAATTTTGATTAAAAAGTTAAACAATTTAAATTTTTTATTTTATTATCATTAAGTATTTTTCTTCTCATTAGGAAGCTATTGATCGTCAACAGTCGGAAGAAAAGCAGAAGGCATATGGAGATGTTTTTCTTGAACAAATGAGTCGTTACATTCAATATGGTGAAATCGAAAGTAAAATCTTTTTTTACGAAATTTTAAAAAATAAAATTATAATTTATTATTAAATTTATTTTTATGCTTAAAAAAATAGTTATAATGAATACATCAATAGTTGTACAACAGTTATTAATGCCATAAATAATATTAATATTACTATAAATAATATTAAAATTTTCATAAATAATAATAATAATATATTGCTAATATGCTATATTAATAATCTTAATAAGTTAGTATCTTTGCAAAATCATCAGTTATTTAAATAGTTTGGTGGAATTCACTTTTCTTGAGCTTTGTCCCATTAGGGGTCATCCATAAAGTACAAACACTTTTATTTTGACTCTCCCCATCCACGCATTTTGCTATACGTTTTTTTGAGAACTCTCTATTTTGCTAATTGACACCCTGCCCCCTATCTCATATACGCCATTTGTAGACCCCTTCTCCCCCATCCGAGTGTACATGTTTTATGGACAATCCCTTAGTTAAAAATCCTTAAAATTCAAGACTTCATTTTTAAAATTCAAGACTCTAGATCTTTAAAATTAAACCATCAGTTTTTGTTTTTTGCGATCATAAACCCTAATTGCTTTGTATTTTTTGTGCTTTTTTTACCAACTTTTTGTATTACACAATTTTTTGACATATCTAGCTAAAATACTAAAATTTCATATTTTTTGTGCATTAACTTTAATATAGTAAAATGAAAAGGTTCATTATCACTGACAATATTATGTAATTCATTTATAAAACATGTATGTGTCATGTATTTTGTATCTTTTTTAGATAAAAAATGACTGTGGTTACAATACTCCCTAAAAGCTTAAACTGGTTTATTTGATAATGATTAACTATATCTTATGTATTACAGTAGCTACTGTGTGTATACCCCAATAAATAATAAAAACCCTAATTTGTCTTTATCATATTTTTAAAATGTAATCTATTCCTTTTTTTAGATTTAAAGTGGGATTATTAAGTTATTGATACATAGAAATCAAGGATTAATTAGATTATTTTCAGCTACTATTTATATTTGTTTATGTTATAATTATGTTATCAGTTAGATAAATAAAATATAAATAATTTAAAATTGAAAAATACTTAAATAGTTTTAAAATTAAAAAAGCGAAAAGTAAACTGAAATCTATATTTAAATGTTTTTTTTTACAGAACCAATTGCAAGTTTTGTTCAAACTGCGGAGACAACTCTAGATGATATTCAAATTAATGAATCAGATCTTTCAACATTACGAGAATTTTTGGGACCTGAGGTAAATTTTTTTTGTAATAAATTAAAAGCGATAAATTTTTTATTGCTTTTAAAATATACCTTTTATTATAATTTAGTTTAACAATTAGATTATAATAAAAGGGTTTTTATCAATACAAAATACCTTGATTTCTGGTAATAGGTTTCAATGTGTAAATAGAAAAACAGTTATTCAGTAAAATATAGGTAATAAAGTAAATTAGATATTAATTAATAAAAGTTTTTATAATTGTATAAAATAATTATAAAACCTATTATTATAAAATAACAATAATAAAGTTTAAATTTAAAGAATGTATATTTCAGATCTCGTTTAAAAGGTCTGAGATGTGATTTAGTAAATATGCAGTTAGGTTATATATAGAATTATAATGTTCAATGTTGTAATTAAATGTGATCAACAAGGATGCAGATTCCTATAAAGGACTCTAGATTTGAAAATCATAAAAAGATTATTTCTTCCTGGTTTTTGGTATCCAGGAGCTCTAAAAATGTAAAGAGGATTATTGAATACTTTTAGGAAAAAATTAAGACTTTTAGGTTAGAGGAACAATCGATTTTCAAACCCAGAGTTCTTATTTTTAATAGCCACAAGGATAAGTACTTAATTTTAGAGCTCCTGACATAAAAAGTTAAAGATTTAAACCCGAAATCTTTATTGACTCTGCATCCTTGCTGATCAATCAAGCAGTGTGATCACTCTTCTTCTAATGAGTTATTTAGACAAATATTTTAAGTTAAATATATCCTGGCAGTTGATACCTACCTGGTGAATTATACTAAGGTGTGGTAATAAATAAACTGTTTAACTTGAGACAGAGACAATGCAGAAAATGTGATAGTGGTATTAAAGTATAATTACTATTATCTACTTTTATGCTAGGAAAGGGAATTCATAATTTGTTACAAATAAATATAGCTTAGCAAAAATAATATAGAGAAAATTTTATGACCCTGTAATTGCTGACAGAAAATGTAAGAAAGTTTACGTATTAGAAAGAGTATATTGTTTGATGCTTGATATTTTTAAATACTTACCAGGTTTAGAATCTTTAGTTTTGTCTATTAACATTTTAAAACCTTTTTGCTACAACATGGATTGAATATTAGGTCTGGCTGACAACTTTTTATTATTATTTTTATCTTAGTTACTTTTTTAAAAGCTTTTTGTTTCTTTTTGCTTTTTGTTCAGGAAATCGACTCAGTTATTCAAGCACAAGCATCTCAAAATCGCAAAGCTAAAGAAGTAGCCGACCTCAGCACAATTTCTCTAAACTCCTTTGATTTGCATTTACAAGAAGTTGACACTACTACTGAGATTACATTAATTGAAAATCCAAATGGCAAGGCTAATGTCATTCTTTCCAAAGGTTTTACTGGAAATGAGCATGATCAAGATGTATCTGTACATAACAAAAAAGAAGCATCATTTGAACAACCAATTTTGATTGAAGGAGATTTCCAACAAAATTGTAGCAATATTCAAATAAGAAACTGTAATGATGTCTATTCATATAATGACATTAAAGATGTCAACACAACTTTATTGACTAATTTACAACAATCTGCTAATTCTAACGAAGAACAGTTTAATGACTCAAAATAGATTTATATTGCATAATTTATTTTGCATAGTAATAATTTGCATAGTTTGTTTACTGACAATAAAGTATAAATGATTTGTACACTTTTCGTACTTTGTAATAACTTGTAAAATTAGTAAGTTGCTGTTTTTGAAAGTAATAGCCTAAATAATACCTTATTGTATAGGTGAATATAAATATTATAAAAAGAATATAAGGTTATAGGTAATTGTAAATTAATATTTTAATAGAAAATAATAATTAGGAATAATAATAAATTTATATATAGTTGATAAGAAAATTAATAGGGCTAAAGTAGAAAAAGTGTGTCTTATAGCACTAGAGTATATATATATATATATATATATATATATATATATATATATATATATATATATATATATATATATATATATATATATATATATATATATATATATATATAATGCCAACCTCTAACAGTTTGAGTACAACAATAAAGTAACGATCTTATTTTTCCTAATTTCGAGGGTTGTATGTATGTATATATATATATATGTATGTATGTATGTATGTATATATACATATATATATATATATATATATATATATATATATATATATATATATATATATATATATATATATATATATATATATATATATATATATATATATATATATATAAATTAGCACTTGTCAATTAGTACTAGTCCTCTCAATACTATTTTTATTTGTAAAATTTACACTTTTTTATAGTTACCAGCATCATTAGCTATAAAAATGTAATTCAAAATTAAAATTATAATCGTTAAATTAAATTTCAAAAATTAAAGCTTGAAGTCAGTGTAAAAATAAAAGGTATTGTTCATTATCAAAGTTTTTACCAATATACATTAGAGAGTTTTAATTCTCTTAGACTGTGTGAACTTTCTTATCTGGTTTATTTTATTCTTCTTTAGGTGCTTTTACTTTATCAGTATTAATACTAATAAGACTTTTTTTAAATCATTTTTGCTATTACTAACTTTTAGTTTTTTTTTATAGTTTTGTTTCACATAGTAATGTAAAGTGCTTTATTAACATCAAAAAACAAATCAACATCACTAAAAAAAAAAAAATTTACTTGATACGTTTTGGTATTAAAACTCATAGATTTTAGTAAACAAGTTTTATTAGTGTTTTGTAAGTGAAGTTCAGATTATTTGTTGTTATAAGTAATTTTTATTAATGACAATTAAAATTTAAATATTGACTTAATAATATTATGTTTATTTTTTATTTTTAGCTAAACATTTTTCTTAAATAATATAGATTTATAAAATTGAATAAGAAACAATATGTTGAATGAAATAGATATTGATGATAAGATTCCTTTGGAATCAACAGAAGAGTTTGATATTATCAAATCATTAGACAAAGATGTGATTGCAATGGATCTTGTTAAGAAGACACCTTTTACACCAGAAACTAATTTAATGACAATTGAAAAAATCCCACAAAGTTTGTGTTATAAAATTTTAAAAAAAGTTCAAGAGTTTTTGTCAGTTAAAGCCCTACCACTCTTTTTGTTAATTGGTGTGATGTTAGGTGCCTTTATACCTCAAATTGGTGTAGCAATTGACCATAAAGCAACAACCGATGTTTGTCTTGTTATAATGTTTCTTTATAGTGGCTTGTACCTCAGTACTACATCAATAGTAGAAGCTTTTAAAGCGTACAAAGCTGCTGTTTGGGGTACTCTTAGTATTCTCTGTGTAACATGCATCATTGGTGCACAGTTAACTAGTCTTATTTCATTTCATGGTCCATCGAATTTTAAAACCAACATGTCATTTTTGGGTCCCATAAACAAGACAAACCAAAGCCTATTATCTGGAAATGAGACAGCGATTCATAATATTGACTCATTTAGGGCAGGTTTAATTGTTTATTTTTCCACACCTTGTACAGTTTCAAGTGGAATCTTGATGGTATGTGTTGTATTTTTTTTATCAATTCCATTTGCAATTTTCTTTTTAATTTTTGCTTTAATAAAAAATTTAATATATATTATTTAAGTTATTTTTTTAATGTTAAATGAGTTATTAAATAAATTTTAAACTATTAGATGTTTTCAAAAGGTAACACAAATTGGTGGTAGTACTGCATTAGCTGTTATGTTGACTGTCGTCACTAACATTGTTGGAATATTTACTACACCTCTTCTTTTAAAATGGATTTTAACTACTGGAAGCCAAATAAAACTTGATGTTTTATCACTTTTGCTCAATCTTTCACTTTGCTTGTTATTACCAATATTGGTAATTATTTTTACTAATAGTGTTGTACATTAGTTGTTGTTGTCATAAATGCAGTAATCAATATATCTATCATTAACTATTTATTTTTAAAACTATAAAGTATAGCACTACAGTGTTATTATGTTATTTAATTATAATATTTTTTAGGTTGGAAAATCACTTCGGTTTATAAAATTTGTCAAAACTTTTTTAAGTAACCCAAATCATAAGTTTTTCCTAATGTTATGCAGCATAACAGCATTGGCCATTATAATATTGATACAAGTGAGTAAAACAAGTTCTAACGGAGAATTAAAGAAATTAACATTAATCAGCACATTAGCAGTTATTGGATGGACTCTTGCAATGCATTTCATATTTTTATTACTTAATGGTTTAATATCATGGATATTACGGCTCGAAAGAAAACAGCTTAAGTGTATTGTAGTTCTTGCAAGTCAAAAAACTGTAACTATTGCTTCAGCAATTTTTATATTTATTCCTGCCGAATTTGGTAAGGTGTATTTCTACATTTTATTATATATGTATAGTATGTATGTATATAAATATATATGTATAGTATGTATGTATATAAAAATATATGTATAGTATGTATGTATATATATATATATATATATATACATATATATATATATATATCCTTATATACTATTATATAAAGACATATATATATTCTTACATACTACTATACAAGGAGATATATATATATCCTTATATAATAGTTGAAAGAGATGGTAAAAAAAAGTCTCTTTCAATGATTTTTTATTAATTCGTTTTTTAAAAAAACGCAATAATAATGACTAGAAAGTTTTTTTAATATATATATATATATATATATATATATATATATATATATATATATATATATATATATATATATATATATATATATATATATATATATATGTATATATATATATATATATATATGTATATATATATATATATATATATATATATATATATATATGTATATATATATATATATATATATATATATATATATATATATATATATATATATATATATATATATATATATATATACTCTTGCTTGGTCGTCCCTTTACCATAAAATGTCAACTTTAATTTTTTTATTTATTTTAAATGCCGTAAAATTTTTTTTTTTTTTTTAATTATTTGATAGACTGCCTACCCAAACCAAACCCGCAATCGATGTAGCAACACTCCCTTGCAAGTAAGGCTATTTGTCAGTTGATGTTGCAGCATTCTGTTGCGAGTTAGGCTATAAGATAGTCAATGTAGCAACACTCCACGCATGTTTTACAGTTAAAAAATAAAAATAAAAACATTTAGAATATTTTTATTAAAAAAAACATTCAGAATGTTTTTAAAAACATTCTAGTCTTTTAATTTGTGGTTTTGTGGTTTAATTACTTCCTGCAATTAAATTAATGCGTTTTGACATAATGTATTCTTAATTTTGTCAACTTTAATACCACAAACAACCTTTTTTTTACCACAAACTGAGTATCTAAGCCCTTTACCATAGGTATATATATATATATATATATATATATATATATATATATATATATATATATATATATATATATATATATATATACATACATATATTTATTTATATACATATATGTATGTATATATATATATAAAGTAGAAAATTGCTTATAAAATTTTTTTTATTTTACACTGTGTTTCATCTATAAACAATCATCAGCAATGAATTCATTTCTGATGAGTCTGTATAGATGAAACACTGTAAAATGAAAAAAATTTGTTAAGTGGTTATCAACTAATTTAATACTGTGTTCTTTTAAGAACTTTGAATACTATATTTTATAGAATACATTTAAAGTTGTTTGTATATTTTGTATATATATATTGAATATTCTCATATATATATATATATATATATATATATATATATATATATATATATATATATATATATATATATATATATATATATATATATATATATATATATATATATATACACTTACTAAAGTGTGTTTTGATAAGCATTTGCTCACTTTTTCTGCTTACCTTAAGCTATACTGTTTTTTTCGAAAAAGAAGAAGAAAAAATGAAGAATGATGAATAAAACAATTGCTTCCCCATCCCAAATTCTCAGTCGATGTAGCAGCACTCCATTGCGAGTCAGGCTATTTGTCAGTCGATGTATATACTGAAGCACCCAGCAGCAGGCTATTTCAGTATGACGTATTATAAATATGTTTAATTACTGCAGGAAATTCTAGTTTATAAGTAGGACAAACCTAGTAAAGAAATATTTTGAAATACCTTTATCTTCCATATTTTTGGAGCGGTTATTTAGTACTGCAGATCTGCAACCGGAAAATAAGCCTTTTAAGTTTACAATATCAAACTATTTCTTTTTCAAAATTTAATCTGAATTTATATTGGATAACAATCCATTAACCTACCTACAAATATTTTTAATATCATGCGACTAAAATCAAGGAAACAATTACTTAAATTGCAAGGAAATTTTACAATATTCTTTCCTTTATAAGAAATAATTATTCAAATTAATGATACTTGTCTTATTTATTGACAATTCTTTTTTTTTTTTTTCAACAATTATATCTATACTTTAACTTCATTTTATTGGTTTAATTTAGTTTTATTTTATTTAGTTGTACAGCTGCCTCTTCCAAACGGCAGCTGTACAAAATATAAATATATAATATATATATATATATATATATATATATATATATATATACATACACAAATATATGTGTGTGTGTGTTTGTATGTGTTTATTAGAGATTTTATTCAAAAGAATTTTTAACTATGAATAAAGTATATATATTTTGCAGTCATATCAAAATTTTGATGCACACTGTTTCTTAAAAGTCTTTTTGTATGATATAATGTAGATTTGCATTTTTTTTTTTTTAAATTGTCAACTTAAATGCCCGCCGATGGTTTTAAAGTTTAGAATCCTTAATTTAGGGCTTTTTTGTATCTTCAGCGAGAATAGTAAACTAGGTCTAAATTTATCCATTCAACTGCAAGATGAGCTGTTAGGACCTCATAAATAATCAATTAATTCTAACAAAGGATTAACGTATATATAAACCTCCTTTTTGGAATTTAAGTGTCCTGTAATTTATCAAATCTACCATTAATTAGTGGCTCGCATTGCATCAATAGCTTACGTGCGTGCTTAAAATAATGACTTCCCAACTGATAAAGAACAATTATTGAAGTCATGACTTATAAACGTTTTTATATTCACGCGCTCTGAGCCACTTGGGAATTGCACTTGTGATTTTTTATATATTACTTGCGCTTGTGAAGTTGTGTAATTTTTTTAAATAATTACTTTTAAAGTGAGTTGTATAGCTATGAGAACTAGAAAAAGGGAGAGTTTTCCTAGTCCTCAGCCAAAAACACAGGTTAAAAGAAGAAAAAATTGCAGCAAAAGAAAAAGATTTCTGGTTGGAAACACCCTGGAGAGGATGGAGAGGAACCAGCTTCCTTTGAGAAAACACATCATCCAACATTATCTTCACCTTCGTGATCTGTATCCAAGGAAACCAATTAAAGTTAGTGTCTTGCTCTCTTCAAAACAAAACTTTTAGGTTTGTTTTATATTGTTTTACATGTGTATCAATCCCGCCATTTGTTGTCAAATGGATACAGAATGTAAATTATTAAATTATATCCACAAAAAACTCCTCAAAAAATTACTCGACACATCTATTCCCTTTTTAATGTAGTTGGACAAAGATTGTTATTTTAACAAATTTTTTCTAGATTATCTTGCGTTAAAGATGGTGAAAACTGTGAGTTTGAATGTCTCCTTTCTGGAATCTTTTTTCCTAGGAGAAGAACAGGATTTCCAGTTCTGACCGCCCATTATCTACGCGACAGTGTTAATCAGTTTGTGGAACAGTACATTAACCTGAGTAAATCTGAGAAGCAAATTGGAGCTGGTTATGAAGCATCGCACAAGAGGTTTAGCATTAAACTTGAAGGTAACAAGTTTCAATATAATTATCTATATCAATATAAAATAATTATATAATTCAATTTAAAAATTTTCTGTTGGTTGACTTTATAAAATTTCTGGATTAATTAAGAAAATAAGTCAAAATATGTGAAGTGAGCAAGGCTAATTACATTTGCTTTGGTTATTCTTTGAGGCGCATATTAAGAGTTTTAAAACAACAGTTGTTTTTATCAAGGTTTGTTTTGGGCAAGTTTGGATATGGATCTTCTGAAAAGAAATCTGGAATCTACTAGGTTAAGGTTGACCGAGGGCAACTTAGAGCATGAAGCTTTTATTCATGATCAGATGACATACAAAAAGATGTTGATTGGTAAAGTTGATGGAAGGTTTGAGTTTGTTGCACAGAGATAGGAAAGACGAAAAAAGCAGGAAAAACCAACTGCTTTTGTTAAGGTTAAATCTGACACTGTTAACATTGACTTTGCATCAGATACAACCGACAGCAAACCTAGCTCTGATGACGAAAATTTTGAAATACCACTGGAAAAGACTTCAGAACAAATTTTAATTATGCCTAATAATATTTTATCTAAAACTGATAGAATTGCCATTGGCATGTGCATCAGTCCTTACCAACCAAATGCTTTAATAACTTCTGTTGTAGAGCAGTCTTGTGGAGATATAGGCAAAGTAACATTATCTAAGACTTCTGGACAAAGAATCTCAGACAAGATTATACACAAGAACCCTGCTGCACTCAGAGCTATGTGAATTATGTTTTAACACTACAGCTTCAAATACTGGACGCCTCAGAGGAGCATGCATGAGGTTGGCTCACCTTCATGACCGACCATTGCTTATGTTGGCATGCAGACGCCATGTTGGAGAAGTGCACATATCCCACTTCAATTCCAAAGTTGCTGGTAAAAGAACCGTTGGGCCAGAAAACCAACTGTTCATGTCTTTGAAAAAAAATGGCCTGAAGTTGGAGCAGATCAGGTTGACACCCTTTCAAGATTTGATTACAATGGTATTCGTGAAAAAAGGCTAGAGAGACAGGCCATACTTGCATTAGATGTCTGCAAGAGCTTGAAGAACAAAAGTATTCTGAGAAATGATAAGGTATATTTAAATTTTTTTGGTAAGATTTAAACAAATCAATATGCCAACTTTTTTTAAAAATTTAAAAACTTATAGGTTATATTATTTTCAGACATTGGAGAAGAGAGGGGGCTATTTTGAGTTAGCAGAATCAGTCATAAAATATCTAGATCGGGGATGTGAGCCTGCTCTGTACAATTTTCACAAGCCTGGAGCCATATCCCATGCTAGGTTCATAGGGAATTTTCTTTCCAAGATCCAACAGGTTATTGAAATCAATAATGATCTTATCAAAGAGATCAAGAGAATGGCAGACTTTATT